GGAGAGCTGAAATGATTCTTGGATGATTTGCCATGGCAACGCAGAGAGTGGGAACTTTGAACAAACAAGAGTGCAGTAGACTGCACACACACACACACACACACACACACACACACACACACACACACACACACACACACACTAAATAACATTTGAGGGAGAGCTGAAATGATTCTTGGATGATTTGCCATGGCAACGCAGAGAGTGGGAACTTTGAACAAACAAGAGTGCAGTAGACTGCACACACACACATGCCGGCTTGTTTTTGTATCCCTGTGGGGACCGTGGATTGACTCCATTCATTTCCTGGTCATTTATACTGTATGTACAGCCTAACCCTGACCCTGAAGCTAACTCACAGGTTCATTCTGTCCTTAAGTTCGATGTAAATCAGACACATCTTACCAGCACAGCACACATCTCTGACAGCAGCTGTCTTGATAAAACAGTCTAGTTTAATGTGTTCTTCTTGTTGATCTCTGGTATCATTAAAACTTTGCGGTCCTGTTTGTCCTGCAGGACCTGCAGCAGGACATTGAGCAGCACACAGACAGCGTGGTGTCGGTGCTGAAGCTGTGTGACGTCCTGCTCCGTGATGTTGATGCCTGTGGTGACGACTCTGAGATCGCCTCCATCCTACAGACCAGCTGCAGTCTGGACCGGCGCTGGAGGAACATCTGTGCCATGTCCATGGAGCGCAGGATGAGGTGAGCTCCGACACACCAATATATGTGTGCACAGTGATACCGTTAAACTGGTTGTGTTGTCGTCAGGATCCAGGACACCTGGCGTCTCTGGTGTAAGTTCCTGGATGAATATTCCCYGTTTGAAGYKTGGCTGAAGGCAGCCGAGGTCACAGCAGCCAACCCAGAGTCTGCCAACGTCCTCTACACCAACGCCAAGGAGGAACTAAAGAGATTTGAGGTCAGATGATATTTTTTAGGCAGCTTTTATTTTGGTAGAAGACAGAACAGGAAGTGCTCAGATGAAGGATTGACTTCCATCTTGTCTTTCAGCAGCTGACAGTTCCACGTCTCCATGAAGTCTCATGTTGGTCTTTGGTTTTGTTGAGACTCTGTTTTGTCTCGCAGCTGTTCCAGCGGCAGGTTCACGAGCGGCTCACTCAGTTGGAACTGATCAACAAACAGTACCGCCGTCTGGCCCGGGAGAACCGCACCAGTGCTTCCTGTAAGCTTCAACTAATGGTCCAAGATGGAAACCAGCGATGGGACTGCCTGCAGAGGAGGGTGGCGGCCGTCCTCCGCAGACTCAAGGTGAGGCAGGAGGTCAGAAGGCATCATAGCATCAAACTGTTCAAAAAGTTTGGTTAAGTTAGGTTAGGTTAGGTTAGGTTAGGTTATCAGGTTAGGTTAGGTTAGGGTTAGGTTAGGTTAGGTTAGGTTAGGTTAGGTTAGGTTAGGTTATCAGGTTAGGTTAGGTTAGGTTATTAGGTTAGGTTAGGTTAGGTTAGGTTATTAGGTTAGGTTAGGTTAGGTTAGGTTAGCGTTAAGATGAAGGAGAAAACTAAAATCTGACATTCCATCAAAGCTTTCCTTCTGATGCCTCCTGTCAGAACTCCTAATCCGTCAGGATTGAGGTCACCTAACGAGAGGTCACATGACGCAGGGCAGATGGAAGGTGTTTGTGTTGTTTCACTGAGAGGATTTTCCTGATCAGCTGAGCTCGGTGCTAGCCTGGTTAGAACCAGACCCTTGTCCTTCACTTTGCTTCAGACGGAGGAGTGAAGGGAAACCAGAACTGAGCAGGACTGTGTGGGTCAGGCTGGCTCAGTGCTGATCTGTCATCCAATCAAATTCTGAATCTCAGAAACTGTGAGAGCTGTTGGAGTCAGAAACTGGCTTTGAGCCACATTTCTTTCTTGTTTCGACAGAGAACGGTTCAAGCTTCAGGTTGTGTCATGTCTCTCCTGGAACTGAAAAAGACTGATAATTTATCGTACCATAAAAGTTTTATATTTCAAGGCGTGCAGRTTTTTGTTGAACCTGTAAACTTTGGCCCCGCAGCACTTTACATCTCAGAGAGAAGAGTTTGAAGGAAGTCGTGAGGGGGTCCTGGTCTGGCTCACAGAGATGGACCTGCAGCTCACTAATGTGGAGCATTTCTCCCAGAGCCACACTGAAGACAAGATGAGACAGCTGAAGGTAAGACAGAGACCACAGGGCTGTCTGTAAACAGTCAGAAACAAACAGASAGCAGGAAGTTTCCCATCCTGCTGCAGACAGGGAGCTGCTTCATTTGGTTCTGATCCAGTAAAGCAGTCAGAGAAGAGCTGATGGTAAACGAGACGGGCAGATGGAGGTCATTACCTCTGCAGGAATACTCACTCAGGTGGACACGCTTTCATTCCATCAAAGTAAAGTCCATTTCCTGATGAAAAAATCATTTTTCTGTTCCTCAGGAAYAACAACTGAACTCAGAGACACGACTGACAAAAAGTCTGGATCTCAATCAGATTGAAAATTTATGACAGAAATTGAAAAATCTGTTCTTTCCTGCGTGAGGCAGCAGCAGAGTCTGCTTCATGAAGACTGTCGTTTTTCTGAGAGGCTGACAGAAAACATTTGGTGTGTCTGATCTCAGTCCTGCACCTGGTTCCCTCTGCTTCTTCCTGTCTGCAGGCCTTCCAGCAGGAAATCACCTTCAACACCAAGAAGATCGACGCTCTGATTGTGTTTGGGGAGAACCTGATCCAGAAGAGTTCTCCTCTGGATGCGGTTCTGATCGAGGACGAGCTGGAGGAGCTGCACTCCTACTGCCAGGAGGTGTTTGGGAGGGTGGCCCGCTTCCATCAGCGCCTCGTCAGCACCAGACTGGTCAGTAGGAGAAAGAGCAGCTTTGGGATGACTCAGGAGGTCCATCAGAGCTTCAGAACCTGTCAGAACCAAACCAGATTCTTTGACTTTTCACCTGCAGGTTCCAGATGAGGACAGGGACACGTCAGACCATGAACCAGGCCTGACTAGGTCCCCTGAAGTCCCCATCAGGACGTCCTGGACAAAGGTGAGGAGGAGGACAGAGGAGGATGAAGACTCTCTGTCAGTGGGAGGAGTCTCAGCTGGGCGTCAGGCCATGTGCCACCTCCTGGTTCCTCCTCCTGAACACTCAGGCAGAGAGACTCCTGTCAGCGTGGACTCCATCCCCCTGGAGTGGGACCACACAGTCGATGTGGGGGGATCATCYTCTCATGAGGAGGATGAAGAGGCCCCCTTCTTCAGGACTTCATCAGGTAGGAGGGAGGAGAGGAGAGGACCACAGTCTGCTGCTGTTCTCTCCATCGCCCCCCGGTGGAGACTCCTTCAGCTTCTGTTCAGGTCTCTGAGGGTCCACCACAGGGTCTCAGCTTCAGGACTCTGAGGGTCCACCACAGGGTCTCAGCTTCAGGTCTCTGAGGGTCCACCACAGGGTCTCAGSTTCWYGWCTCTGAGGGWCCACCACAGYGTCTCAGSTTCWYGTCTCTGAGGGWCCACCACAGGGTCTCAGGTTCTYGTCTCTGAGGGWCCACCACAGAGTCTCAGGTTCTAGTCTCTGAGGGACCACCACAGGGTCTCAGGTTCTGGTCTCTGCAGGGGGTGTGGTTAGGTTTAGGACCTGAACCCTAAGCCTGACCTTTGACCCTTGAGCAGAAACAGCTGCTTCTGTCAGATGATTTCTGATGTGTAAGAAGTGATGAGACAGATGTCCTGATGTCCTCCAACACTGGACTTGTCCCATCCTGTGGATCTGCCTCGACCTCAGAGGACAGCGCCCCCCCCCCCCCCCCCCCCCCCCCCCCCCCGCCCCGGTGCTGAGCCTGATGGGAGGTGTTACCTGAGAGACCTGAGCTCAGGTGCAGTTTGATGATGATTCATTTCTTTTCTGCAGTGAAGTCAGTTCCTGAAGCACTCTGCTGGTCCCCCCCTGGACCACCTGGACCACCTGGACCCCCTGGACCACCTGGACCACCACAGGCTACAAGTCCTGCAGCAGAAACCATCCAAGAGTTCAGCTCATCTTCAAGGAGCAGACCTCTCCACCAGCAGGGCTATGTAAGAACACACACACACGTCTCTCTATCCTTGTGGGGACCTTCCATTCATGTTTTAGTCCTTTTCTATCCTGACTGAACATAAACTAACCTGTGACTCTGTGTTTCTGCTCAGGAGGAGCTGATGACAGGTGACAGACAGAGCATCAGCTGTGTGCAGAAAGTAAAAGTGATCATCAACGATGAAGAGGAGCAGACAGATGAAGGTCTGAGCAGCAGCWTGGAGCAGCTGAGTACAGGTGTGCAGGCACAGATAAAGGTCCTGGACTAATCTTTGTTATACTGTGTAACATGTGGAAGTCCTGTGTTTTTAGATGAAATAAATGATGTTTTCCTTTCAGGTGGGCTCGAGTACTGGGAGCAGAAACAGCTGCTGCAGCAGTGGCAGAAGCTCCACCATGACCTTTGTGATGTCACTTCCTGGCTGGCCAGAGTCCTGCCACAGCTGGAGAGGCTGCAGCGAGTCCCTGTGGCCAGCAGCATCACAGACATGGAGCTCAGCCTCAGGGACCTGGAGGTGAGACCCCGATGACCCAGAGTCCAGCTCCTGGTCAACACCAGCTGAAGTCTGAGGGTTTCTCTTTGGTCTGTGAAGGACATGCAGAGGAACTTCCACACCTACGAGTGTCTGATGATCTCTGTGAACCTGAGCGCACGCCACTTCCTGCAGGGTGACAGCGTGGAGCTGGAGGAGGCTCTGAGCTCAGCCAATCACAGCTGGGCTCAGGCCTGTGGCCTTCTGGACAGCTGGCAGAGGAGGCTGCAGTGTCAGGTCAGCCACACTAAACACTAAACACTCACATCATGAAGATGTCCTCTGAGCTTCAGGCTGCTCCCATGGAGCATCACCCTGATGGTCAGAAGCTCTCATACCTTCAGGGTTTCTCTCACACAGTTAGCTGTGATGCTGCCTGCTGCAGGGTCTGCAGCAGCTGCTGGTCCTGCAGGACATTTCTTCTCATCTCCTGTTGGACAGCAGTGCAGAGGAAAGTGTAGAGACCAAAGAAAAAGTCCACGTGATCAGCAACAAGCTTCACCTGCTGCAGACAAGCAGCTGCTGCGTGCTGCACTCTGGTGAGAGCTTCTGACCAGCAGCTGCTCCAAAACCACAAATATTCTGACCTGAAATACAAAAACCATCTGTTGTCACCTCACTGAGGAGATGAACACAAGTCCACCAGGACAATAAGTGAAAAACAAGGTAACATCTACCACAGCTTGTATCTTCAGATGAACATTCAAAAACAATTTGTCCAGAGTTCAGGTTTTGATCTGAGTTCTGGCAGAACCCTGTGGTTCTGAAGGGAAGCAGCAGTTTGTGGAGGACTTTGGTCCTCATTTCATCAGATGTTCTACAGATAAATGTCTTCAAGGCTGACGTCTGTCTAACCCTGACTTTCTTTGTTTAGGAGTTGCAGCCAGCTGCAGGCAGACAAGCAGCAGCTAAAAGGTCAGATCTGTGTTTTCTAATCAGCTGAAAACATATTCTTTAATCATTGACTGGCTTCTACTGGGTTCTTCTGGGTTCTACTGTCAATCAAATCAGCCTCTGACATCATCAAACCACTTGATTCAGATTAACACAAAGATCTAACTTTTGCTGAAAGAATTCATGAATAATTAGTAGAATTTACCTGAACTTTTCTTTAATAACAAAGTTTGGAGTTTTACATGTAAAAACATTTGTTCCCAAACAGAACTGGGGGGAGGGATTCCTCGGCCCCCCAGCCCCTCCTGCACCGGGCTCTGTGGGCTGTCCTCCACCTCCTCCTGCTCTTCTTTCTGCTCTTGGTTCTGATCCGTTTGGTTCCTGCGTCTGATGATGACCGCAGCTGTTCACTGTCCAACAACTTCGCCCGTTCTTTCTACCCCATGCTGCACTACACCAACGGACCCCCGCCCACATGAAGGCCCCCAACACAACGCCTGTCTGAAATCCTGCACAGGATCATTTCTGTTTTTAAAAACTAAATATTGATTTATTCCTGTCAGTCAGAAGCCATATCCTAGTTTAGATTGAATCTTGTTAAGTGAAGACAAATGAACATTTGAACACAACATAAAGGATAAAAGCAGGAACTGCAGCTGCTTGAATCAGGTGCTGATTCTGTAGTTTTACTTACAAACAAAACATTATATTCAGATTTGAATAGATTTAAAMGTGAGGTWRACTCTACCTGTAACAAGATAAACAWAATAATGAATACATGTGAAAATGTGGAAAGTTGACTTTATTTTCTGTTTTTCTTTTCTGTACAGGTTGTCTTTTTGTCTGATAAACAGTTTGTTTCTGGTGTCACTGGGTTTAAAGCAGAGCTSCTCCAGAACAAACAGGCAGAACCTTTAGTTGACAAACAACAGGAACAGTTGCATGCATGTGCAAGCTACACACAGCAGACACACACACAGAGAAAACACAGGAGCAGGTGTCAGAATCTGGGCTAAGGCTGAACTTAGGGCTCTTCATGGTGCGTTCAGGGCTCTTCATGGTGCGTTCAGGGCTCTTCATGGTGCGTTCAGGGCTCTTCATGGTGCGTTCAGGGCTCTTCATGGTGCGTTCAGAGGCAGCGGTTGTCTGAACTCTTCGTACAACATGGTTACACTTTCTTCCAAATCCGAGCCATGTCTTGTTCCTGAACAATTTTCGACTGATGTGATGTGAATTCCAGTGGGATAAATCCCAACATTGGGTCAGCTGCAGGGACAGGTGAGCAGAGCTGCCAGAGTCAGGTTTAGTGGAAGAGCTACTAATCTAATATTTAGTTGCTGAAACATTTTAGAAAGTTAGCGTACAGTAGCATGTAGCAGCACCTGTTTAGAAACGAGGTTTGTGTGTGTCAGTGTGAATTCAGCCTTAGTTTCCAGAGAGAACAGGGAGGATAACAGTCACTTCAGTTAAAGGCCACATCCTTATAGAAACATGTTGCATTAACCAGTTCAAACACCAAAGTACACAGAGTACGTCACACTGCAGTGGGACAGAGAAAACTAGWGTGTGCTCCACATGCAACTGTAGAAATCAGGTGGTTTCTTCTCAACCTTACACCAACACCAATAAAAAAGGTTAAAAAACTGCTTGTTCTGATGAACACCTACTGTAGTTCACAGTCACAAAAATATTCACCAACAAAATATACAGTCAGAGTTTCCAAAGAAGGAAAGACATTTAGTCTTCCATCAGCACTGTGCTTCTGGTGTTCTCAGGTGTGCTACCTGTAGGTTCAGTCATCTAAAGCCGTTTCCATGACAGCACGATCAGAGATGATGTAACTAACTGTCTCCACAGATGAACCCCTGTCCTCTGTGTCCAGGGACCAGTGCTCCGCTGGGATGTATCTGAAGGGAAACAAAGTTCCTGCAGTTATTAACCAAAACATAAAGTTTACAGCCATTTTCTGTTAGAAGTTTTAAAAGCATAAACATCAGTTTTATGAAGAACTGAAGAGAAATGTCTCATTGCTTCATTGTGACTGACTTTAAATGCTACTAAAACAACAGGTGTATGATGGGAAAACATAGAAACTTCACAACATGCTGCTGTGCCGTCCTTCATACATACAAATATTCAGAAAGAGGCAACAATTAGAATTAGGAAGACTTAAAAATCCTGAAATAAAAACAGAAAGTATTCTTACTTTCTGTATATAGTATAGTTAGAAACATCTCAACCAACCCTATTCTTTAAATATAAATATAAAAAATCTGCTGGACTTGTATTCTGCTGCTGATGCTTGGCTTCTTGTCTGGAGGAATTTTTCAGGTCAAAACTGGAGATCCAATATATGATGAGCTTAAAGCCTAGAACAGAACACAAGTCCAGTTCTGTGATGTCCTGGATGACTGAGAATCTACATCATGTAGTAAAAATGCCTTAAAGTAAAGACAGCTCTGAAAGGTTGGACTAAGTGACCAGTGGAACTTACTCCTTGCTGTCTATTTGAGACCGGACTAAATCGTGTGATGAAGGTGTGGACGGGAATGTCCCAGCCTGCAGACACCCATCCACCATCCGGTCTTCAGCTGCTTCCTGTGGAGGTTCGTGAAAGCTGTTGGTGCAGGGCTGAGGGGCCATGATGTCATCTGAGCCAGGCTGCAGATGGAACGATGGCAGGGGATACTGCAGCCCATCAGAGTACGAATCAGAGCTCGGTGAGGAAGAGGCAGTTTGACTGCTGCTGCTGGATGTGTTGGCATCCAGCATCTCCAGGAGGAGGTTGTAAACCAGAACCACATTCTTCCTCTTCATGTTTGACAAGTGGTCCATGCCTTTGTTACTGTGGAGAGACAGGGGAGACAGTGAGCCAGAGAAAGTGCACCGAGCAGAAAAGATGGCAGATATCAAAGGCTCTGAACTCAACATCTGTCGTCTGTCTGAGCTGTCATTTCTCAAACTCCAGTCTGAAGCACGCAACCAAACAACAGAACAGTTCCTTGTAAATCAGTTCACTGATTAGCAGTTATAAGTATGTGAATTTGCACACTTTGTGTTCTAATAGTGTGGATGTGAGAGTGTCTGTTCCTGACACGGTGACTGCTAGAGTGTAACTGACATGTTGGACGTTAAGAGTGGACCTGACATGTCCGTCCATCAGTTCTCTTCCTCTTATCCAGGGTCAGGTCTCGGGGGCAGCAGCCTCAGCAGAGACCCAGACTTCCCTCTCTCCAGACACTTGGACCAGCTCCTCTGGGGGAATCCCAAGGTGTTCCCAGGCCAGCTGAGAAACATAGTCCCTCCAGCGTGTCCTGGGTCTTCCTCTGGGTCTCCTCCCAGTGGGACAAGCCTGAAACACCTCCCTAGAGAGACCTCCAGAAGGCATCCTAACCAGATGAACCACCTCAACTGGCTTCTCTGGACGTGGAGGAGCAGCGGCTCTACTCTGAGTCCCTCCTGGATGACTGAGCTTCTCAGCCTATCTCTAAGGGAGAGCCCAGACACCCTGC